TATATAGGTTAAAACTAATTGCAACATAAGTTGCAACATTAAAAGTTACAACATATTAATTACAGTTCCCATCTTTAATAAACACTATATAAAATTAGTTTAAAAGATATATCTAATACAAGACCTGAACAATATATGTATATGTAAGATTTAAATTTACTAAATAAAATAAGAAATTTGACCTTTATATGAGATTTTTTTTATTTTTTTGCTTAACCAATAGGTTAATTAAAGATTTATTAATGTGTAATAAGGTATAAATCTAATTAAATTTAGTATTAAGTTTATATAGCAGATACAATCAACTCTCTATAAATGCATCCTCTTAAGATCAGACACAAGTATGCATTTAGAAAGAGTGCATTTATAGATATATATAAATTTATATAGCATTAATATAAAATTAAGGTAATACAAAAAATTTTATAAGTAACTATTATAAAAATTTTTTGTCAAAAGTGTGTATTTACAGAGAAAAGTATATGTAAAACGTGCATTTAACATATAAGTCCCAGCTTGAGACCAAGCAAAAAAGTACATATATAAAGGGTATGCATTCATAGAGTATTCATATTTATATATTTTAAATTAAATAAAATTTTTTTCATTTTTATATGTTTGTTATACCTTTAAATATATATATCACTTTGTATATTTTGTTAGAGTTTTGAATGAATCAGATTAAACAAGTTGAGTTGAATCAAATAATTTTTAAACTTCAACTAGATTTTATTTGAATTTTATTTAGTAAATAAAAGTGTGTTAGATAATTTATTCTGATTGAATAATAAAAGATCATTTTAAAGAAATTATTTCGATAGAAATAATCATTCTAATAGAATGATAAAATATTGTTTTAAAGAAATAATAAATAATATTATTATAATAGAATAATTATGCATCATTTTAAAAGAATAATAAATTATTATTTTAAAGAATAATAAAAGAATCATTCTAATAGAATAATAAAACATCATTTTATCAAAATGATAAAAAGAATCATTTAAATAGAATAATAAAATATCATTACTTAAGAACTAGGAATGCTAATGGTTATGATTATAACTAGTTATGATCATAACTGATATCAGTTAATTAAAGATTTCTGATTAATCAGTTGATCGAATAATTTTGACTGATTTTGACTGACTGGTTAACCAAACATTTTTTAAATATTAATATAAAAATTCTTTGCATTTAATTAACAATCATTTAGAAAAAAAAACTCTTTCACCAAATTCACAAAAATGACTAGAAATATAAACAAGTCAAAAAAACTATCAACCGCAAACGTTTAAGTTCACCAGTTACTAATAGATCAACTCTACCACCAGCAAAAAGACTACAGCTCGATAAACAAGAACAAGAACAATAACAACAATAATAATAACAAAAGCAACCAGAACTTTCCACCTCAACTTTAAAGAACGTTAATACACTAACTGATATAGGAGTAGAATCTACTTCAACTTTTATCCTAACAAACAAAGGCAAAGCATCTGAACTTATTATTTCTCTAGTCAATAAAGAATCTTTAGACTATGACCAGTCCTTCGATATTGCGGAAAATATGCTTGATAAAAATAATAGAAATAATGCTCTTCACTTCGAACATGAAACTGAAGCATCCATCTTTTTTGCTATTGCGCAGAAGATATTTTTTCCACAACAAACCAAATAAAGAAAAATGCAACACTATTTGTGATTTGTTTAACGGACCACAATTTTCTTCTTTCACTAGTGCGACAGTCAGAAATTATCTGCAGGAAGTAACAAAGAAAATTATCTGTATTAGCTTTATAACACGAGGTGACTTTGAACGTGCTATTAAAATTACTATTTCTGATTTAGATAATACCACGTTTTTACCATTAGATGTTACACCACCAATGAGATTCACTTCTGAAATGTCTATTAAAGTTACTGAGATTCCAATCACAATAATGAAATCTAATATCAGATCATCATTTACCTTTTTTAGTACAATTGCACGTTGTACTATAATCACCAAAATTTTGTGGCAACAAGCCACAATTACTTTCACCACAGGCACTGATATGTCTCAATTCAACGATTACCATAGATTTTTTGTTCTCAAAGATATGATCCGTATTCATTTATACGTACTCTTCAATGAAAAGGTTCATCTCAAATCAAAATTTTCCTTAAAACTCACCAACCTACCAGTGGACACCAACATTCACAAGATGCTTTTCAAGACACTTCTGGTAAAAAGGTGTGTCCACATAAAGCTAGGAAATTCATGGTATAGGCAAATTGTTGCGTATAAATCTCTTCTCCATGGATCGATCCACTTTAGGAATATCTGTGTTTTCCGCAAGAGCTATTGTCTTACTGAGAATATTCTTTGCGAGATTTTCGATGTTTGATCTATCCATACTTACTGCCTTACATATATTGCTGAAGAAACATAAGCAAAAAATGATCTTATTGTTTTATAACATTTGTAAATTCCGCAGGAGCAAATGAAACCCGGATCCTCATATTACGCAATACATTTCATTACTTCGTTAACCCTTGCAAATCGCGATTAGTAAACATTCCCATCACCTTATGTGAGATAATAATTGCTTGAAAAAAATTCCGTGAAAGTAGAGCGTTAATATACGTTTTTATGTCGTGCAGGCATGTCGTGTGATTAGCGACATTGCATCATTGCATGTGACTCGGTTTCTCATGTACAATTCGAAGCCAGAGAAAAAATTAACATCATCTTTTGAGTATGTGAAGAAAAAGGATATATATACTTTATTTAGTGAAATTAATTGGTAACTAATACATAAAAATTACGAATATATTCCTTTTCCAGTTGCAAATAAAAAATTTAAGAAAAATAAAACAAACAAAAGAAATGAAATTATTAAAATCAAATAAATGAAATAAATGAAAGACTCGAACTAAGCTTATAGTAATAAATCTTAATTATTTTGAAAAGAACGAGTCACTGCACAGTATTTTGCAGTTTGGGTGGTTTCGTCGCCAATACTAATACCTAAAACTGTACCAAGTATAGATTGTGGTGCTTTTATGGTGAAATTTAGTTCGAAATTGTGGTTTGTTTCAAATTGCGGACACTTAGGATCGCTTATCAAAATATCACAAAAACGTTTATGGAAAGGCGGTGCTGCGTCATTATTATGTTCCATAACAAACACAGCAGAAACCATGGATTGAGAGAGATTATCTCCTTCCTTTGCCGTTCCTGAAACATGAATGACTATTGAAGAATCAGGAGGCAAGTTAAGCAAATCATCAACGCTTTCAGGTTCGGTCGTTATTCTGATATCCGATGGAATTGGCGGAATAGCATTGCATGATTCAAAGAAAGGAGGATTTTGTGCATTGATCATTGAGATCGTAGCTAATAAAATAACTACAACATAAAAATTTCGTTTCATGGTTTCTTTAATCCTTTGAAATTGACGATAATTTGAAATTTATAAGAGTAAAACATGACCTTTTTATAGAAAAACGTGGAGCATTCCTCCGAGACATTTTCGACAGGCGTTCCTATTAAATTTCTTTTTGAAGAAAGAGCCGACAACATCTTTTTCATATTGGATAATTTCGTATATAATATCATTTTGAATTTTCTAAAGTCAAAATGCTGTGTTAAGATGAATTCACAGCCATATCTGCAGATCGCGGAAAGCTTGTGCGTATCACCTTTCTAGTAAATTGCTTTCAATCAGAATTATTTTTACTCGGTTGCAAAAAATAAAGTGAAATGTCTATGTTTTACTGTTACTTTTGCCGAAAGGCGCTTTGCTTGACATTACAAAGCTAAATAAATTAACAGCTTCTAGCTGTGCTAGTGCTTCTTTGGGTGAGATCTTTCCAATAGAACACGCGTTCTGTACGTCAGTAAATGTCGGGCACCTCAATGTCGAGTCTTAGTTTTGCTACTTCAGCGTTCTCAACCTCAACCTCAGCAAACTTCTTTCTAAGTTCAGGATCTCGGCATTCTCAGCCTCAAGCTCGGTAACGCGTGGTCTCAATAATTCAAGCCCAATGTCATGTTTATGTTTGATAATATTTTTTTATACTATATATATAAGTATTAAAATAAAAAATCACGTGCGTGTGAAGATTCTTCACGCCGATCACTTTAGCCAAGAAAAAATTTTATTAATACGTGCAAAAAATAAAATACAAAAGTTCCATGATATATGCGAAAATAAATACTAAGGTTCGGGTCGTAGCCCGTGATACATGCGGAAAATAAATACAAAGGTTCGGGCCGTAGCCCGTGATACATACGGAAAATAAATCGGGACTTAGCCCGTGATAAATGTTACTCTTGATTTTCAAAGTATCCTTGCATATTTTTTGACGGCTCATTATTTACATCTACCCTTTCTCTCAATAACCTCCATTACCCGCTTACGTTTTTATGTAACTCCTTTTCTTCCTCTGAACCTTCTTTCAAAGCATACTCGACAAATTGGATATTGAGTGGATTTCCACTCGTGCAAGAAATTCCGTCAGAGGTATAAAGGAGGAAATACCATTCCGTAGCTGTGGTCACGAAAAGGTAGTCGTATTCTTCACCGAAATCGTCATCCGCTTTTCGTTTTCTTTTATTAGCTTGGGGCACGCATCGTACAACATTTTGTGGACGAAAATCAGTTATGGGAGCAAAATGTTTCATATTAACCTGAGCGAACCTGATGGCAATTTAATTTTGTTTTCAATTAACTCCTCAAGCGCTTTGATTGTATATCCACGCATCCTGTATTTTCCTCATCAACAACTTTGAACTGCGGGTTTAGTGATATTTTTTTTTCCGGTAAGTTCTCTGACAATATGAATACAATGTAGGATTACCAAAAAATATTCACAACGGATTGCTTCGTTACTTTCAACAACTGTCCCCATATTGCGTAACCTGAGACATGAATCCTTAAGGCAATCTGATAAAGCCTCGTTCTTTGATTTCTTTCCATAAAGAATGTTATTCATACGGTGTGGTATTCGAACATTTTCAACCCTAAGACATCTTTGAGGTCATGTCGACGTTAATCTTTTCTCCTTAACCTCCCTAGCGAAGTCTGCAAGATTTGCCCTTCATGCCATAACTTCTGAGTCTTTCTTCGGGAATATTAAGAAAACCCCGGCCATTAACCTCTTCATTCTCTAAAATTTTGACAGCGCTTTTATAGGGACATTTGACTCGGTGTGACGTTCCGGAGTGAGAAAATTTTATTTCGAGAAAGTAGAGCATATATATACACAGGCATTGCATCATTACATGTGACTTACCAGACAAGTACTTCGGAACCCGCTTTATTACATGCAAACATTATGTGAAAGACAGGCTCATTCCCAGTATGACAGGCATTATTTATAATGAAATAAATCGTTGCCTAATTCAACAGCTAATGCATAAAACTTGCGAGCCAAAATGATGTCAGAAAACATTGTTGTTAGCATATAGTAAAGTGGGAGAGGAAAGGTGAGATGTCATTTAATTTTCCATGATAATATGAATTTTATTATTGGGGAATTGCTTGTTGTTGGTCTTATATATATAAAGCCATAGGATGAATAATTTAAACAAAGTTGGCCATTGTTTCATAATTATAGTCCTTAATTGGTCAACTGTTTTGTCTTTAGAGATTTTAAGCAATGATACTTTGACCTGAAATATATCAGGTGGAGAACAAGACAATTAAGGCTAATATTATCCGCTTCTTTCTAAAGTAAAGAACCATAGTGAATAAATTTTGATGCTTCGAAACATTTTGCTGTAAATAAAGGAAAAAAAAATTACACTTCATACTTTACATCACATACCTTAAAAAATTCAAAGGAGAAAATTTTTGTGGGACTTCTACATGTTTTATATCTTGCTGAAAAAAAAAGAGGAAAGGAGCTATGATACCAAGAAAGCTATGAAAGCACATAAATCTGAAATTTCTTACTTCTTCACATGAAGATCTTCCTTGTATGATGAATTTAGGATATACTCGCAGAGAAAATCACTTATATAAATGCTGAGGTCTAATCTGCCGGACCCCAAACTTTAGTTAGATTGTCATTGGTACAAAAGATCGATTCATAAAGTTTAAGCGATCTTATAGCTTTTTTAGCGCTATTTACTTATGAGGTAAGTTCTGTACTGCAACTAGACATTCCTTCACATTTCATATTTGTTCAGGAAAAGATAGACTAAACATAACTTTTTTTTGCATTATGACTCAACAAAATTTTTCAATCAACGATCACAAAAATGCTCTGCTAAATATTTTGTCTGATATAAAGGTTAAGTAAATACATCAAGAGGGAAAATATTTTTAATATAATAGACATATATTTTGATAATGATCTATTAAAGAATTTTTCTTCGAGATGATATCTTTTTAATTTCAAATAACAATCCACTATTGAATCTTCACCTTAAAGCGAATAACCCATATTAGAACTTCTTTATCTTATCTTATTATAAGTTACCATAATCTCATCCTTATCAATAGTACCATGCAATTCTATCAGACTTAAAATTAGTAGAAAATAAAAGCATTCAGAACTCTTAACTGCGCGTAATGATCCACTAATTAACCCTCACAATAGATTACAATTGCAGGGTTGGCGGGCAAACGTCGATCTAAAGCCAATTCTCAGCATACACGCAGCTCTGCAATGCATTTCAAAGTGGAACGATTTCTCACAATGGATAAACTATATACAAATTGTTTAAATATTTTCTCTTTAACGCCTGACTACCTTTGTTTTCGAATAGGTTTGATTGCACAAAAAAGATCATTCCAGTCAATTCAGTTATCCCAAGTTTCAATATACCAATCCTTTTTTAATTCGTATTCTTTGATAAATTCATTATAGTCTTCTTTTATTTCGTCAGTTATCTTATCATCTGAAAAATAAAGTTAAACCTCACACAAAAATTTTTGTGTCCAGTTATCATTACTCCAGACTAACTTTAATCGGATGGTCTGAAGTGGTTAATTTTTATAATCGGATTTTTTTATGCGGATCATTTGTTTTTATATCATGTAAACTCTCTGAAATAAAATAGTCAGTTTGTTTTCTAAATGGTCTTCCGAATCCGGCAAGTTGGTTCAAAATTAATTTCAGCAGATTTATGAATTGATCGAAGATGATTCTTTTGTTTGCGTGTTAATAGGTAGACCCTTTTATTATCGAATACAAATATTTATTTGATCATTTTGATCATTTTTTTTTTTTTTTTCAGACAGGTGATGCTGTGAAGGTAAAGAATTTTAAGTTCTTACCTTGTATATTTTAATTTTAATTGTTAAGGTGGTCAATGCGTTACTAACGCAAGTTGAAAAATTAAAACAAAATAAAACAAAAAAAGTAACATGTTAATACTACATCACAGAAGCGATAGGTTTTGTATCTCAACTTTCTTCGACGTAATTTTTTTAAAAATTTTCTCGTAACCTTTATTTCCTTTATCAGATGCTGATATTAAACAATAAATAGGCAACAAGCGATTTATGCGATTCTATCAAGTTGTATTCATGAGTTGAAATTTTTTCGTCTATATTTTGAATCAAAGAAATTTAATGAAGAAAGTATTTATATAATCAAAATCTCCTTAATTGGAGTACTATGAACCTACAAATGATTTTGAAGACTAAATTTTAGACTTTATACAATTTTGGTAAATTGATTAATATTTAGAATTTATATATGTAAATAAATAAATAAATTCAATCAAAAAATGCTACAACTTTTAAAACATTTTGAAAGCTTTGGACGAAACAGTATCGAAGAATCAACTGGCAGAAATTTGATAATGTAAAATCACACAATATGATGAATAAATGTTAAAACAGATTTAATTATTTATTATTTTTATCCCTATTATCCATCAATAGGAATAATAATTCTAGCAATTTATTTTCAAAAAAAATTGATATATTCCAGGTACCTTTGGACAAAGATTTGCCGATAAGGTTTATTATTTATACCTTGCTTTACATGGACCAAATATATGCATGTTAATTGTAATTTCGAAAAAAATATTTTAATTCGTATGTTTATAATAATTAAATTAGTTAATCAGTTTAACTAATGTTTGCTGTATATATATTTTTTTTCTTTTAAGTTGTGACAAGTTATGTATGTAATATAATTGAAAGTAATAGATTTACAACAAGGCAGGCAAAAAAGAATAAGTGCATTAAAGTTATTAACGCTTAAATATTCTGATTTCTTGAATATTATGTTGTATTGATATGGTGTTAATAGATCCTTTATGAATATTCGCTATGAAACCATTTCCCTTCCCCTCCGTATCTTTCCATCTCTTTAGTTACGCTTCTAACACTAGTTGCAGTTCTTGAAGGGCTTCGCATCATAAAATCCTCTAAATCATCTTCTTCCTCCTCTGACTCCTCCTCTTCAGATT